CTACCATTATAAAAAAATTATCCATCAGTTGCCTCATAATTGTAGGCTTCTGTATTCCAGAGTATATTTGTCACTTGAACATGTCACTTAGCCTCTGGACCTCAGTTTTCCTATAACTGAAATGAAGGGATTGAAGTAGTTCCCATACAGTTCTAAAATTACAGAAGTCAATACCTTTGTTAATGTTCTATTTAGTTAATGTGTTTCATCTCTTGATAGAGGAGTTAAGTGGAATTATAAACACTAGATTGTGACAACTCACTAGGAACATCATGACTTACCCTAGTTAACCTAGTTATTTTAGGACACTATAGGCCTGATGGGAACTCCTTCATGAATATTTATTTCCTTCAAGTCACACTTCATAAATGGCTACTCATTTTGCTCATGCCTATAGCCTTATCCATATGTTGATTTCCAGGTAGCAAATATTTCATGAATATAGACAATAAACAGAAGAAGAGATTTATAAGATTCTTTTAAATTTGACTTATTGCAGATTTAGTTGAAGTCAGGTCCTCTTAGGAAATAACCAATATTTCTGATGAGCTTCTTTAGCAAAGTTTACTCTTGGTATCATCCCAGCCATACTTTCCCAGATAGTTCAGCATGATCAACTCTTCCAAGATATTGTCTCACTGCAAAAGCAATTGCTTCTCCCAAATGCTACTCATGGATCAAATGACTTCTTTAACTGAAAAAAAAATCTCTTCCTGAAATACAACTCATTCAAGGCTATTATCAAAAAGCTTCTTAATCAGCTTTTGGCCATATTAAACTTCTATAACAAGAATCGAGCTTGATTTTACCCAGGTTAAGGAAAAAGACAAACTGTGTTTTTTTTTTTTTTTGGTGTTTTTTTTTTCCTTTGGCTTCTCTTTTCTTTTAAAACAAAGAACAAAATGACAAATCCAAATTTGAGACATCTGGATGTTTCCCATCATGAGGCTTAAACATCTGCATTTTTTCACTTCTCATCCAGATGTTTTGGTCTTATGTAAACCTAGCTAAAGTGAAGCAGAGTATCAAGCAATCATCTGGGGACTTTGATTAACATGGACAGCAAATCTGAATAATCCATGTTCTGAGAGTCCTGTTTTTTGTCTAGTACAGGACGCATTACTAATGAGGTCAAAGTTACTGTAGGCTTGTTCCTTGTATGGGCCAGTTAGCTCTAATCTGTTCCATGACCACAGAATGCACCTCTAGCCTCATCCAGCTGTCTGGAAAATGAGAGTGTCCTTGGTCATACACGTAGTCACGCAAGAAACTGAATAGCCGACCTCTACAACTTAGAAAATAAAATAAAAATGCATTTCTCATGGATTGTGGGACAGCTGGGCTGTTTTTATACAAAGTAATAATTATAATACTCTCATATAGTTCTTATTCTTTGCCAAACACTGTTCTAAGCACTTTATATACATTAATTCACAAAGTTCAAAACTGCCTGCATGTTACAGTTATACTGATTTTATAAATGAGAAAATGGAGGCAAAGAAAGGCTAAGGAATTAGCCACAGATAAAATGGGTGGCATTCTTAGTTTTCTAGGCATTTTCTCACACCTCCTCTATCAAAAAGGTTGGGAACCCTGAATACATTGGTTGCTTTAAAAATACATCAAAATTCAAATGTTTCTGCATAATCAATTTATGGGTGAAAATACTACTGAGGTGCAAGCTGGACCCATAAAGTAGGTTAATCTAATCCCCATTCTTCCATCCAATATGAAAATTATAGCTATAAAAATATCCTTTTGCAAAAATGAAAGGCAAGTGTTTGTTGGAAATAAGTCAGCATATAATGTAGCATTTAGGAAAAAGGGCAATGCGGTTAGGAACAATAATATATGTTGGGTGGCCTCATGGAACTAAATTGTCTAAACATTTTGAGGAAGAATGATTTGTGTGACTGGCAGAGTGCTTAGGAATCTTTGATCTCCAAGCACAAATTGACTTTGAATCCTAAAATTTCTAGTCCCAGACAAGATGTAGAGAGATAATCTAATATTTTCTTTCTCTTCTTTTTATAAAATAGAAAATAATAAAAGTGCTTGCCTAAAGAAGAATTGAAAAAAAATAATTCACATATTTGAAAATCTTCAGGAATTGAAATTTCACAGATGCTCCCAAATGTATCTGTCTACTTATTCAACAAATGTGATGTAAGCACCTACCTTGTGACCTGCTCTATTATGGGTGTTTGGAGTAGCAAGTGATAAGATGAGGTCCCATGTTTTCTCTTTCAAAACATAAAGGTTCTTCTTCTATAACTCCCCAAGTAATTATGGAAAAGCAATTGCTTAGTATCTTAGTAATGGAGTCGATAATCATTAAGACCCATTTTCCCCCCTTGGAGAAAAAAGCTAGACTTCATTTCCCACTCTCCCACTCCATCCTCCTTCGGAATATGTATTCTTTTTATGGGCCATCCTATGCCACCCTCCATACTCTCTTTACCCATATAGAAGCTGAATGGAGAAGACTTGTTGGAACTTGAGGAGAGCAGAGCAACAACATGGAAAGAGCCTGTCTTTAAATTTTTAAACCAGATTTACAGAATCACTTTGCTGATCATTTCTCTCATCCAAGCAGAGCCTCTCCCTATAAACCTGCCCAATCCTCATTAGACTCTAATGGGAACAAGTAATATTTTTTATTGTTAAGATATATATGGGTGGTTGTCATGACTACTCTGAATAATATACCTTACGAAATTCCTTCATAATTATAAAGATGGTAATTAGCTAACAACTTCATTTTCAATTTTAGTGAAAATTGGGTTCCAGTCTCACCAGGTCCTCAATTTCTTCTATTGTTCTTCACAGGATCACTCTCTGCTCTTCCTTCCTCCTTTTGATCCAAGACACCTCAATGTATCTCATGCTGTGCATTGGCAACCTTGTCCAGTTTCTCTATTTTAGAACTGGTTACCAGTAACCCCAATCCTAGACTTTTAAAATTTGTTTCCCTCTGACTTTCAATCACTGAAATGTCTTCATTTTAAGATCACAATTCTTTATATCAGAATAAGGTGAGAAATTTAAATACAATCAGAAGATGACATCTGAAGGACCAAACACCATCATTTTCTTCTTTGTGAAATTGGAATTATGACATGATTTTAAAACCAGATTTACAGAATCACTTTGCTGATCATTTCTCTCATCCAAATATTTGGGGGATGCTTCAGTGGCAAATACACCTAGTATTGTGTTGTCTTTATTCTTATTCTGACAGTGTCAGGATACTCAGTTAAGAAGAGAGTTTAACCAATCAAAAAGAATTCTTTTGGTACAATTGACTTTTTAAATCCTTGAAGTCTGTTAATACTGTTTGCTTTTTATCACTTTCCATTTTTTGCATCACAAAGTCCTATTTATTTATATTTTTTTCTTTTTTTATGTACTGTGAATTGAACCCAGTATACTTATCCTCTAATCTATACTTCTGATCCATTTTTAAATTTTTATTTTGAGACAGGGTTTCACTAAGTCAGTGTGGGAAGGCACTGAGGCTAGCCTCAAACTTGGAATCCTCATACCTTAGCCTCAGGAGTTGCTGGGATTATAGGCATGTGCCACCACATCTGGTTAAATTTGCCATTTTATAAGAGGATCAATATCACAACCCTAACTGCATCTCTCATCATCTCACAGTTGAAAAAGTGACAATAGCCTCCTAGCTAACCTCCCTGCCTCCATTCTCTCCCTTTACTTAAATTCTTCCTGCATCTGCTCTCAGATGAATGCTCCAAAAATTTTCTCAGCCTTTTAAAAATATATACTCATATAGATTTCTGCTTTTACCAACTAAATGTGCTTGCTATCAGCTAAACAGAATTTGCTTATTCTTCCCAGAATCTTCACATGTGCTATTTTCTGCACTTTGGAAATTCCTGTTCTTCACCACTGTCTCCTCTATTCCAAACTCATCTCTTGCCCAAGTCAACAGTGAATTTCCTCACTTCACTTGTCTTCTCTGGATGTTCAATATTAACTTTCCTACACTGGAATGTGTTTTATGATGAATATGATGTATAAATTATTTGAAAACAATGATTGCAATTAAAAAGTTCTACTATACTTTAGATACTGGCCAGTACACAATAGGCACTAACTAATAATTATAAATGTGGTTGAGAAAATATCAGTAAGCCTTTGGGGGAAAATACAGATAGGTGTAAGTGATTCCACAGTAAGTAAATGGAGCAATGAAAAACATGTTTAAATTGCTTGTGGCCAAATTCAGTTCTAAAAAAAAGGCAACTTTGATATGAAAAGTTTGAACTGAATGATTTTTGTTTATCAAACTGTTCCATACATTTTTCAGAGAGCCTTAATGCTTAAAACTGTGACCTCCTATCAGACATCTTAAAACAAAAATGCATGAGTAATGGAGAAATTGGAGCCAGACAATTTTCAACATTAAATTCTCTCCCATAAAAGAGCATGACAATTGCAAGTGTTCAAACTTAACTGATCACGGTGGAACTATTTTCTTTCTTCACTTTTAGTCTGGTTTTATCAGTTCACTATCTCACCATGAAATATGAATATAAGGAGTAGAAAGATATATATGTGGAATAATTAGGGCATATCCTCTGGTCATCAATTTTCTGAGTAGTTGTTTAAACAACTAATTTTTTAAAAAATAAAATGCCCAAGACAGTAAACATTTTAAACCAGTGATTCTATTGTCTTATATGCCCTTCAAATACCATGTGAGTGGAGAAATCTCTTTCCCTTTCTTGCCAAAATATTCTTTCTCACACTTGCCATTTTCCCACCTGTTGCAAAAGTAATCCTTAGGATACAAATCATTTCCCTCTCCTTTTGAACTCTTTTATAAATTTCTCTTTCATAACTGAACTCTTTGTTTTTACCTCGAATTGCCCCCTGCTTCCCCCTTTAAGCCCCACAATATTAACCATCCACCCTCAACCAAAATATCTACCTTTCAAACCATGCAACCAGGTTGAAGCCTTACCAGAAGCCTGAAAGTTTCTCTGTGTTCATATTTTTGAATGAGTGTTTGAAAACAGAACAGATTTGGATCTAATTCAATTAAGGCTTAGAGGCAGTGAAGAAAGACATCTTTTCAGGGAACATCCAGATACATTTCAAAGTCTCCATGGTTAGATTGGAGCCCATACATTTTCAAAACTGCCAGATTTCATATTTTGCAAAATGAAACCCATGTTTACATTGTCCATCTCCTTGAGCATTGTTTGTTCTCAGTGCAGTTTTCTTTTGCTATGTATTCATTGAGTTTATGCATTTCTCATTTGTGCCATCTTTTATGATGTTTTCAGGGTGTTTCCCCTTAAAAAGTCAGTTTTTAAATGTGTGTTTACACAATCACATAACAATAAATTCGTTATAATTGTCTTAGAACTAGTTGTACAAAGGGTCTTCATAGATTTCCAAAATCCATTTCAGTGAAATGCTGAAAAGAAAAATAAATTTCCTCACTGTAGAAGCAACTGGAAGAATACATTATGTTCTAGACTAAATACTTATTATACCCTTATAGGTTTTATCTTTCAAAAATCTCATATGAAAATTAAATTTTGAATTGCCATCTAGAAATAAATTTTTATAGATAGAGTACACATTAGTTCCTGAAAATGGTAGAAAAGGTTTCTTGTCAAGTTCCCCAGCACAAGTGTGAATGCTCTGTTTTTGAGTACCTACTAGTAGTGAAAGGATACATTGTGGCCAGCCAACTCAAATTGCTACCCACGTTTAATCATTGTAAATAAAGGAAGCAGAGAGACCCATGTTATATTTTCAGAACTGGCATGCTCAATACAGAACTATTAGTTTAAAAATACCACTGAACATTCTATTTGAATTAATCTAGATTTCTGTGAAAAATAAAATAGTAAAAAGTACAATTGGCCACTTAAACATGTACTACTCATTTCATGCAGATTATTAATTTGGTAATTACACATTGCATTAAAGAACAAATAGAGTAAATGCAACTTTGTAACATTTGGAAAACAGTTCAGAATTGATAAATTTTCATTTTGAAATACCTATAGTTTTTACAGAAGCAAAATCTCCTTTCTCAGTGGAGAAAAATACATCTATGAAACACCTACATGTGTTGAACTGGACTTTTCAAAGGAACAACTAAATATCCCACTGTGAAGTGAACATGTATAACTGCTAAGCTTTCACATACTGTTGGTGCATAATACATTTTCTGAACAGCTGGATATAGAAAGCAAGAAACAAACAAGTAGGTTAAATGAAACTCATGTATCACAGGGAATCAGTAATGGAAAGAGGTTGAGAGAAATCATAAAAGCATATTATCTAATGTTTTCTTATACATTGATGTTCACAATTACAAGGCCTAGGCAAATTCTTGATTTTTACATATTGTATACATTTGCCCTTTTTATGTTTATCCAAGAGCTTGATTTATGAACCATTTGCAAAATGCCCCAATCAAACATGATAAAGAATTAACCACCACAGGCATCTAGGTGGAGAGTACACCAAATCTGACTAATTGGAAAGCATACAAAGTAGTAATCCACAATAGATACTAAAACAGGGGCACATTACTTACAGCAAATATGGAATAGATTATTCACAGATATTTTGGGGTATGGTGCAGTCACAGTCACTGTATGAGTATAGACAAGTTTAGTCTATCAAATATACTCTTAGAAGCACCGGGAATAGAGAGATACAGTGTACATATAGAACAGTCTATTTCACAACCACTTGGCAGATGAGAATCTCTGCAATTGCTGCTCTACCATTAGTAAGCTCAAATCATTTAGCACTTCATCTGTGAATATTATTTATTTTCAATTGCTGACACTTGCAGTCAATTCATATTTAAATTCAAACTCCAATGATGCTGAAAATCAAGTAAGAAAATGCCAACATCTTCATAAAGCTTATAGCAGGTCAAGAGAGCCTTTGGAAAAAAAGTCTAAATGTAAATTTTTTAAAAAACAATAAAAGGTGTACTTCAAGATGTGTTTTCAAAGTTGAAAAACTTTTGAAATAAGCCAGAAAGCCGTAAGTGTTGTTCAAAATTATCCTAAAAACTCACACCCTGTCTATTCATTTGCTTAAGAAATGCACATTGTTTATCTACCTACCAGTTTGCCTACAGAAGATATGCTTGCCTAACAAAACTAAAAGCTGTTATTATAAGGTGTTGATTTAGTCTACAGAAGTTGTCCGTGATGTTGGAAAAGTTTTACATGTTTCAATCATGTTGTTTTTTTTTTCTCAACTGATCTTCCTTTACAAACAGTCTTCCAATTGGAGTTATTCAACAAAATTTTCTTTATAATTCCTGATTTTTCAGTTACTCTATAAAAAGTTATCTTTTCCCCTTAAACTTAGTTCAGAGTTTTCAAATTCACTTAGTCTTTAAGTTTTCCTTATTTCAAATACCATGTAAATGCTGAAATATTCATAAATATGGGGGAGATAGCTCACCTAATAAGGTTGCAGTCCATGTGGAATAATAAAACCTACTTGAAAACAACAAAGTTTTAAAATTTTTTTTAGGAAGAAATTAAAACTATACATTGGAACAAGTTGACACACTACAAAAGCAAGTCTTTCCTTCCCCCCATTAGTCAGGAAATATAAACAAAAATATTTGAGTATAAAAGTGATTTCTGTGCCTTTTTATTCACTTTTTCAGCACCTCAATGTTCTTAGGTGTACTTTATGCTTGGTACAGCAGAAATTCTGTATGCTCAGATAGCTGTTTGGAGGATTTCCTATTTTTCACTACCAAATATCGCTGGTGAAGCTAAGTTCTTTGGATGATAAAGGTAGCAGGGTATTGTTTCTAGGAAATTCCTGGGTGTCTTTCAGAGTGTTATTAAGGGGTAACTGTCCATTGAGTAGTGTCAGCGGCAAGTTACAGTAAGTATGGTGGTTGTCTAAGGAAGGTACTGGCAAGGTGGTGGTTGGCATCTCATGTTTATAGCCTCTGCAACAGTGCCTCATTTGCATTGAATCTGAATGGTGGAAATCAGGGAGATCAGCTTGAGATGATGCCAGAGTGGCAGACGTACTGGTCATGGCAATTGAGGGTATAGGCTGTAGTTCTCTGAAAAGTCCTTGTTCTGCAGAGTCCAGAACATGGCATCGAGAAAGCATTTCTTTTTTCTTGATAGGCATTTCATATATTAAATGCTTCCAAAACTTAGAATTTAATTTGCTGCTTTTGGGTCCCTTCCACTTGATCAGGGATAGAAGTTTGATGCTTCGCTTTAGGGATTCCACTTCCTGGCAATTCACCTTCCCTTTCAACTCTGTACACTCAATCAAAATCACTTTGATTTCTCCACTGACTAGCATGTTATGGAGTCTGCTTTCCAGTTCGAAAATACTCCATCCCCGTCTGAGAATATAGTCTGGAGTTAGCACGATAATAAGTCTTCTGCTTTGCTCAACACATCTTGTGAGATCTTCAATGTATGCTACAAATCACAGAAAGAGAGAAAGAGTAAAACAAAGACATTGCCAGTCTTTAAAGCACCAGGTTTTCACTCTAGTATAGCACAGATCCAGTCTGTCACTAAAGTCCATCACATTTTCTTTTCTTGTATTGCACATTCCAAAACCCCTTTCCTTAAAAAAATTAAGAAAAATTAAAAAAAATACTGCATACATTCTTATTTTCTTTTGCTTTATTGTTACTTACAGTGTTCTGATAGCCAATACAAGCTCTGGCTTCTTCAGAGCTTAGGTATATTTCAGTGATTTTTATTTATTTAATCACTTAATTCAAAGCATGTTTCCAGGCTAGTACTCTAAGTGAGCAAGCAATGAACAGGTCAATAAAAATAGATTTGGAACCTTCTAAAAAATGCAAGGTTACGGTATGTTTGTAGCTGTTTTTCTTCCTGTTTTCCTCTTGTAAATTAATATTATTTTTAATTGACAAATAATAATGGTATACATGACACCTAGTTTTCATCTTCCTAACAAGTACTGGCACTATGTTTATCAAGTATTTGAGAGATAATTCTGATATAGAGATGATGAAAAAATTCTTTCTAGAATGAGCTTGTTTCTCAGAATACCTTCTGTCATTTGCAAACTTAGGTTTCCCTATTTTGTCCTTCAAACCCTTTGCTTAATTTGAACCAGCTGTTTTTTGTTCCAAAGAGGAGTGAAGGGTAAACTTGGAGATGGGAGATGGAGTGGAATTAATGGTGAAAGAGGAGAAACAATCAACTGAGAAGTAAGTTTTGCCCTGTTTTGTGGAGCAATTCTGAAAGTGAGGTGAATGTGTTATGGCTTTTTTCATGGTAGTAAAACACAATAACTCTAGATTTGTTTATCCCAAGGAATAATCCTTTTGTAATCATGTTTCCCAAAGTATTATCTGCCAAAAAGGGAAACGGACACATGTGTTAACAAATGGAGACTTGGACACAGGTGCTGCACCAGAACACTGTCTTTACTAAGCAGAGCACAAGGCCTTGTCTAATGTACAGTGCCCTCTAGCAGAAGCAGTGCTTACAGAAGCATAGCAACATTTGTCGCTGCAAATTTGTCCAAGGTTACAGACTACTTTCACATTCAGCACATAGTGTGGGGACACCAAACAGCCCAGTACAAGCCATTTGAAAGAGACACTTATTTTACAGATGCATGTTTTACAGATGATCTTTCTTTTCCAGGGTTTTATTTCCACCACTTGGCAGCAAGAAAACTTTCACAAGTGAAAATGAGCAAATTTTCTACACACCCTACAGATAAAAAAAAAAGTTTTTTAAAGAGATACACATAAAATTGCCTATTTAACAATTTGTTGTTAGGGATGTTTAGGTTTTGACTTAATACATTTCAGGACTTTCTCATGCAGTAGATATAATGACTGTATCTGAGGGGATAAGGCAATTGTTAGGTTGGGATGGAACCTCTTAAATATTATAAGTGTTTTATTTTAGGGATTACGTATTTTGGGGAAAATCAGCAGTGGAATCTGTAAAAACAAAACAATACAAAACAAAAATAACCACACAAGTAGCAATGGGGAAGTTTATCACTGAGTAATTATCACTTAGAGAACTGGTGAAACAGAATGGAAGGAAAGGTAGAGAGTTTCAATAGAGTGGAAAAATATTATCCCACTGTATCAACAGCTCTGACTCTTCATTTTCTTCCTTTCTTTCTGCTCCCAAAAAGAAAGAAGTTATGTGGGAAGCTTCATCATTAGAAGTTGGATCTGTAAGATATAGTAAAATAAACTATCATGCATCTTTCCCATTATTCTTTTCACCTTTCCTCCAAAACAAAACAAATTCCAAAACCAGAATGATGGTATCAGTGCAGTAGTCCAAGAGGCTACAGTTTTCCCAGATGAATTATGACTTAATTGTTAATTTTATAGAAATATTCTTTACAAAATATTTTCCCAAGGGGTGACTTTGACTAGTACTCTTTCTCATTACTTTTAGCATGTAATTTAAATTAAAATATTGTTCTGTACAAACCTTGTCAGGAGTCACATCAAATACATTTCTAGGAACAGCATTATTTCTGTGTTCAAATATAATATAAATGTACTTTTTGACTATATGTTTAAAAACAAAAGCTAGCTGTGTACATGTCTCCATTAAAAAAATTTACAACCCAGGTATCTGCAGTCATAAGGGAAATTATACCTATATGTACTAATGAATTTGACTGTGATATCATGCGCTTTGGTTTTGCTAGATTCTTTTATTTTTTTGGCATGGGGAAGGGAAAAGTGTAATATATATTTTACCATGTGTACAGTTCTCCTGCTTCAGATTTTTTTTTTTTTATTGAACCAGAGATTGACCTCAGGGTTTCTTAACCACTGAGCCACATTCCCAGTCCTTTTTTATATTTTATTTAGAGACAGGGATTGCTGAGTTTCTTAGGGCCTCACTAAGTTGCTGAGGCTGGCTTTGAACTTGTGATCCTCCTGCCTCAGCCTCCCAAACCTCTGGGAATTCAGGCGTGCGCCACCACTCCTGGCTCAGAATCTATTCTGATATCTGACAGGTTAAGTAAAATGTAACATTTAGGGTTCTTAGGGCTTCTTACAGACTCATTAGAAATAATCTGCATTTGCCCCCAGAAAGAATGCCTGTCAGGACAGATCCCACTAAGCTCAGCTGTACAGGGTGTGGTGTTGAAGGGAACCTTGGAGAGAGGGAGTGGTCCTGTCTCCTGCATACTACACTGGCTGTGCTTATCCTGGCAAAGCCTAGTGGAGAATTGAGGCAACCATCCAGATAACTTCGGCTGAAAACCTGCTGTGGAAGAAAAAAGTTCTGAATTATCCTGGTTTGCCCTATATATACATTAATCATATGCACTGGAGTCAGTCAGTACATCAAAATTTTCCCTGGGTAGACACAGCACAAGTGTCCCAAAGAAAACACAAGCCATTTGCTTGGGCCCTGAATCTCGTGTTCCATTTCACTTGGTGAAAAACCAAGTGGAAGTTTTCAGATGTGGAGCCCACATTTCACTTCTTGGGATGGTGATCAGTGGCTGGGCAGCAACCTCAGTGTTTGAAAGCAGCTGGGGAGGTGCCTCAAAGAGCTGCCTGGCTCTAAGAAAAAGAAGGAGAGACTGTGCCTTTACTTCCATAATCTGGCTCACTCTCTGTTTTTCTCTTTTTCTTCCCCCTTTCCTCTCCCTACCTCTTTCTTTCTGCCTTTCCTTTTTCTCTCATCCTTTCCTGTCTTTTACTTTTATCTCCCCCTTTGCTTTCTTTTTGCCTCTCTCTTCTATATTCCTCTCCCTCCTTCCTCCTCGCTTCTTATGGCTTTCTTCATCTATCTTTTAATTTTGGCAAAAACAAGATCACAGCTATCATGAAAATATATGTAAATAACAGTAAGATGAAACAGCATAGTTCACCTTTTTCACTTGCTTATCTTTAGCCTTGGAGTTGTTCCTGGTGTGTATGATTAAATGCCCAAGATAATCCCCAACCCCTTAGGGCTACATGTTTGCATTTAATGACTGTGACTTGGAGCTTGATCCATTAAGGACTGTGTCCTATTTTCATATGACACATGAACTATGAACAATATTTTACATATTTAACAAGTGTTCAAAAAGATGATGATGAATAAGAATATCATGCAATTGAGACCATATGTGATCCACAAACCCTTAAATATTTATTATCTAGATCTTTACAGAGAAGGTTTGTCACCCTTGAATTAGAGACCAAGCAGAGTGGTTAGGTTTGGAAAAGTTCCAAACAAACAAAGCAGACAGGTATCAAGTTAAGACATTGCTGGTCCATAGGGTAGTCTCAGACAGGCTGTGGGTTTTTCCCTGGTAGGGCTGTGGTTTTGTGGGAGACATTTTAGAAACGTTCAGAAAATGTTCAAAAAGCTTGTTACCACAAAGAGATAATAAAGAAACGTTCTTTTGAAAAAAAAAAATCCCTAAATCCACAGCACATATGAAAATCTTGCCCTGACTTGTTCAGGCAAATTTAGCTACTGAATGGCAAGGATCCCTTTAAAAGACTCCTTTTTCCACATAGAAATGTAAACTATCCCTTAAATAAAAGGTCACCAAGTCATTTCTTTGCAAATTTTGGGTTGAAATAACTTTTGATGACAGAATAGACCAAAGAAGTCTGTGTCTGATAGTCTTTGGTTTCTCTAGTCAAGTCTGTGAAACCACTGAAGATTTTCAGACATGACAATTTAATTAGATAAATAAAATATCCCCTTTAATATAGTGTTGTTGGGGTGATTAATTTGGTATAAATTAAATCTTCACATTGTAAGTGCAAATACAAAGAAACTTTTACTTCTGTCTGTGCTGAAATTTACAGAGTTGGGAAAATATTCTTGAAGAAAATACATTTTCAAGAGGCCATATTAGGGATGTGGACTTATTAGGGAAATGAAGAGAAATCATGCCAGTAGCAACAGTACTGATGGGAAATAAGGAAACTGGTTACCTAAAGCCTTATTAAAATCAAAGCAAATTTGATTTTAAAATCTCTTTCAGGAGCAGTTGTATATTTGTGAATTTCTATGGAGTCTAGCTGCTGCCTATTGACCACATGATCTCTCAAATTAATAAATTAGTTTCTTATAAATTATTTGTGGGTTAACACTTCCACTTATATCAGGGCTATTTAGTATCAAGAGTGTATAGCATAGTTTCTATAAATAAGTTAAAAGATAAATATTTAGTCTCTAGACAAAGGCATAATATATTACTTTAATAGATTCAAATATAGTGGTTTGATATACTTAAACTCGTAGCTATGTACTGAAGCTGTTATGTAAAAAATACACATCACTGCTACAAGACAGAATTCATCAAGGCAGATGAAACTACTAATTTTGGGGAAACATTAGCTAATTGATAGCTCTCAATAATGATGATTATAAAACCTACAGAGTGATATATTGATTTAAAATCAGCCTTATATATAGGTTTCCCCTATACAAAAGTA